ATTTATTGTACTCTGGAAGAGCAGAATGTTTAGTTTTGTGACACATTTTATAAATTATTATGTATCAACATCAGCAGATACAGTAGTATGCCAAAGTTTAAGCGTCCCTGGTCAAATGAAAATGGGTCAATACATCTTCCGCAGACAGAACACACTTCTGCTCATTTGAATGCACAATTACTGTTTATTTGCTGAAATTAACATATTGGTGTAGTAAATGATAACATAAAATGCAGAAAAGTGCATTTAAACATTTAAGTTTGCTCCATGTAAAAGATTTGTTTACTTTGTGTTATTTTGACTTCAATTAACAAAAGTACATATATTATTATATTGAAAATGTCTGGGTTGACTTTTGCAATTTGTTTTGTCTGATCTGCAGGAGGGTAGAGATCCAGACTACTCTGAGTATAAGGAGTTCAAGCTGACAGTGGAGAACATCGGCTTCAAGATGTTGATGAAGATGGGCTGGAAGGAAGGCGAGGGTCTGGGCACAGAAGGCCAGGGCATTAAGAACCCGGTCAACAGGTGAAGATTAGAGTTACCACTAATTAAATATGGATCCACACTGTCAAATAATGCATATGTATATTTTTAGCATTATCATATATATTACAAGTAGGGAATGGCCCCATCCAACAATGTAACTATAAAACTCCAGAGCTGTCCATTAATAAGACAGTTAAGAGCACATGATTATAGTGTTATAGTACTTGAGGCCAGTTTTGGTCTCGAGATAACTGTAACTTACTGATCTAAGTCTTGTCTTGATCTCAGCAGTATTTTTGATTCGGTACTTTCACCTTTTTATTCCTGTGAGAGCATAGCTATGTAATGTGAAGCGCATTGTAAACCAGAAGCAGCTACCGTCTCACATGCAGTGTGCTCCAGTGTTACTCGTTATGGGATTATGTATTGAATTTTTTGTCTAGTTTTAAGTCTTATTGCCACTCTTCTCTAGAAGAACATAAAAAATACACTCCCATGAATTTTCAGTCTACAAGCAACAGGTGTAAGCAAAACAGAAACATTCCACTGTATTGCCGTGCTGGTGGCTTCTGATATAAAACAAGCCTGCAGTAGCCTAATAGACTAAATTTAATGACAAACACAAGCTAGCCAAGTATAACAAAGCCTAATGCATGGATAGAATTAATATTACTTTTATATACTTTAATATACTGAACTTTCAAGTAGCAACTGGCTTCTGTTTTCATTGTGCTAATCTGTCAAGAATTCAAGATGGCTGACCGATCGATCATTCATTACTTTGCCTGTGTGTGCGTTTGTGTTTCCCAGAGGGACCACTGCAGTAGACGGTGCAGGGTTTGGGGTGGATCGACCGGCCGAACTGACTAAAAATGACGACGAGTATGATGCCTTCCGCAAGAGGATGATGCTGGCCTACCGCTTCAGGCCTAATCCTCTGGTCAGTAACGCTTGTATTAATTATTCTTTATATAGCAGACAGAACATGAGCTAATGCAGTCATTGCCTGGGAGCCTCGTGATCTGAAACAATTTTGCGTTTTTCTAAAATGCTGTGATCATCAATGGAGTTGAATCAGTTGTATTATATTAAGGAGCACACAAAAATGTGAAAAGCATGGGGTCCCTAGCAGAGCTTTTGTTGGGTCTGAAATTTTAATCCAAACCCGAATACAGCCAGAGAACCTTCTGCCCAAGCCTGACCCAGCCCAAATCACATCATCATTTCCGAAGCCAAGCCAAGCTCAACAAAACTTTGTCCAAACTCGACTCAACCCGAGCCTGAAACTGAGTCGAGTCCTACAAAATTCTTTTTGAAATTGTCCCATATCAGCATATCACCACCTAGTGTGCTAAATAAAGCCTGATTTTTCTAATGATAGCGCAGGATAACTAACAGTACTGATATCAATAGCCATCGTTATATATTGCTAAGTATCAGATGTACTTCTTCATCTGTGAATCTAATCAAATAGAATAGAGAAGACATTTGGGAAATGACATCCGAATTAGACATGCACAGTGGGATCCCGCCAGGTTTGGACAAATGTTTAAAGCTGTAGTCCCCAGGACTGAGGGCCACTGAGCAAAAAACTTAAAAGCAGTGGGCATATGTTACATGTTCAAGTAGCCACAAGAGTTACTTGCTTTTGCACCCATATGAGATCACAGGTTTTCTGTATATTTCCCAAATCCAGTGTCTAGAGTGCCACTACAGTGAACAGTTTAGATTTCTTTCTCTTTATTAAACTCATGAAGAGCCATATGAGCTGAATCATATATGACTGTGATTTGAAGAGTGGGGTCTTATACTATCCTGACTTGTCCTGTCTCTTCTTTTTTCTTTCCAGAATAATCCAAGAAGGCCATACTACTGAAGGGGGTGGTAGTGGTACTATACTGTATTTTTATTGTTATTGTTATTCTTATTAATTCTTGGATGTGCAGTTTAAAAAGCACTCCATGATAGCATTGCAAAGTACCAATACTTTGTCAAAACTTGAAAATGTCTTGTTCTTTTGCCTTAATAGATCTTGCCCAACCAGTTGTGGGCGAACATGGTTCCAGTTTTCACATGTTCCCCTTTTCCTTAAACATTTACCATACAGCTTCATAGATGCAGTTTAGATTCTGATCTTAGCTGGTTGTGCATTTTCCAGACATGGCAACTGAAGCCTCACTTTGGCTCTTGATCTACACTGATTATCTTAACGGTATGTGAAATCACAATGAAGAATCTGTTTTCTCTCTTGTTTGTTGTCATATACCAAATGTAATGTGCTCTGTAGAGGTCAAATAAAAATTTCAATGGTTCTCAAATGGCACTGTGTATGTGTACATTCCTCTAAGATCTCATTGATTGCTACTTCACTATCAGTCTATTTTCACAGGCACCTAGTCCCCATGTATTTTAATGGCTTTTATATCCTGTGCAGTGGTCCTTATGATTTGAGGACCACATTTTATGGCTTCTGTGTCCTTTATAGTACATTATATGTGGTCCCTGTGATTTAAGGACCATTTTTTGATGGGTTTCATATCCTATACAGCGCTCTCTGTTATCCACATGACTTTAGGACCAATTTTAACAGCTGTTATATCTAATATAGTGCTATATGTGGTCCCCATTGATATGAGGACCACCTTTTGATGGATTTTATATTGTGTATATAGTGCATTATATGTGGTCCCAATCATTTGAGACCACTTTTAATTGCCTTTTATGTTCTATATAGTGCATTGTAAGTGGTCCCCATGATTGAAGACCATTTCCTAATGGTTTACGTATCTTAAATAGTACACTCTATATGGCCTCCATGACGTGAGGACCACATTTCAGTTACTTTTGGTCCCTGAGATTTGAAGACCACTTTTTTGTGGCTTTTATGTCCTATGATATGCACTATAAGTGGTCTCTATTTATTGAGGACCATTTTAATGGCTTTTATATCCTATATAGTGCACTATGTCATCTCTGTGACTTAAGACCATTGTTTAATGCCTTTTTATATCTTATATAGCACACTGTATATGGTCCCTGTAACTTAAAGGCGACATTTTAATGGCTTTTACATCCTACCATGCACATGGGGTACAAATGTTGATATGAAGTTCAAATGGAAAATGTAGTCTTTTACATTGAATAACAGTGGTTAGGTTGTAGTACCACTTACTATAACACCAGAACTTTTCTTAGTCTCCTGCCACTTTAGTATCAAGGTCATACTCTATGTAGAAAATAACGAATACTGCATGTTATTTTATCTCAATTTTAAAATAATTTTGATGATGTTTCATGAGTACTACTGACATGAATACCACAACTGTTGTGCAACACATAAAATATATGTATACACCGATCAGGCATAACATTCACGATCAGGCGGCACTGCTGTGCCTGTTCCACTCAAACCAGCGCAACACACACTAACACACCACCACCACGTCAGCGTTACTGCAGTGCTGAGAATGATCCACCACCCAAATAGTACCTGCTCTATGAGGGTCCATGGGGGTCCTGACCACTGAAGAACAGGGTAAAAGGGGGCTAACAAAGTATGCAGAGAAACAGATGGACTACAGTCTGTAACTGTAGAACTACAAAGTGCATCTATATAGTAAGTGGAGCTGATAAAATGGACAATGAGTGTAGGAACCAGGATATGGTCATAATGTTATGCCTGATCGGTATATATATATATATATATATATATATATATATATATAGATATAGATATAGATATAAACATTTCACTAACCCTGGACTTCTCAGAGTTTGTCTTTCTAAGTTTTAAATGACATTTTGTTTTTGTAACACTAATGACAAAAAAAGTTATTTTAAAAATATTTAAAATAACTTTAAACTTTACTTAATTCGTACAATTTAAACTGAAAAATAAGCATCAAAATTGTTCAAGGTAAAAATAATACTTCTGCTGTGATGTTTTTTATGCACAAAATGACTAAAAAACTAAGATAAAAATTCAAGAATTCTTTAAGGATATATATTTTTTTTATTAATTATGTTTTATATAGGTTCATTTCGGAATAGAACAACGAATACGCAGATGTCAATTTTCTCTGGATTATTTTGGGCTTATTTTAATGGCTTCGACGTTGTGGAGCTCAATTTGCCTCTGCAAAGGTACAACCATCTGACCCGAAGTGGAACCACTGTGAATCCCTGTTTTGGTGTGTTTTATGCAAAATAGCACTGGCATAAAATAACTGTACCCGAGTATCATGTTATAGTATCATCTGAGTGGCCAGAAGCAGGTGTAAAACACAGAAAATGTGCAAAAGAAGTGGTCCCTATGACTTCAGGACCACTTTTTAATGATTTTATAGTGAGTGCACTGTGGCCAACACTGAGCTTAAGACCACTTCGAGGCTTCTATACTCTATACAATGCACTTCAAGTGAATTTGGGAACCGTTTTAGGCTGTATCGTGTGATATAAACCTGACTAAAAGGCATCTGTGTCACAAAATGATCCTGTTCAGGATCTGGGGTCAGTGAAGGGATGTCAACACCGCACCTTATAACACTTTTTTTGCCACGCCATGTGAAAAGCAGCGGTGTTTAAGGGACTGGAGGTAAAGTAAAACGTAGCTAACGTCCCTTGCATGTAAAAGCCAAGTTATCCGTGGCGTCTGTGTGACTGAAGGTGAAAAAAAATCGTAGCTAACGTCCCTTGAGTCCACGCAACTAAGATTGGTCCGTGCGGCAGCTCCGTTCAGGCCGCGGCTTGTTTTTGTTGTTATTGTCGTCAAAATGGCGACTGGCGCTGAGGCCCCGGAGTCCTGGTACCTCGCCCTACTCGGTTTCGCCGAACATTTTCGCACGTCAAGCCCACCGAAAATCCGCTTGTGTGTACACTGTCTTCAGGCTGTGTTTCAGTTTAAACCTCCGCAGAGGGTAGAAGCCCGAACCCACCTTCAGCTCGGCTCGGTCTTGTACCACCACACCAAGAACAGCGACCTAGCCCGGAGTCATCTGGAAAAAGCGGTAAGGCCCGTGTAGGAAACACCGAGGATGCGTTGGAGAGGCGAACATACAGGCCTCGGTAGTGGAAACGCCGTTTTAGGAATGTTTTAGTTGTTTAAGTTGGCTAGATAGACATATGTATTATCTAGGGGTTTTGTAGTCGTCGTGGTTTATTTTAAAGACTTGGGCTACACAAAATAAACCAAAATGTATCTGTATTCTTGGTATGCTATTCACTGTATAGCCAGAGCGGTAGCTGGCTTTACATGAAAAACAGTCGTGAACATTGTCGTAACTAAGATTAGCTTTTCTGCCCTGTTCGTTTTAGCACTTTTCAACAGCCAGCTTTTCTGTTGTTTGTCGGTTCTTTACAAAATATCTAGTTTTTCGGTTTGTGAATGTGTAATTTCTGCTCGGGGGTACGGTATGCTAATGATCTCTCGCTTTCTCTTCTCTTTCAGTGGTGCATCTCGCAACAAGTATCCTTTCACACGTATACAATGAACAAAATCATTTCATTTGGACGAAGAAGTCTGAAATAAGTGTCTGTATAATCAGTGTATGTTTGTTTAAACTGTCAATTAGGTTTCAGTTTTGTTGCCTAAACCAGAACAGTACGGGATTATGGCTGAACTTTGAAAGTAGTGAATGGCTTGCATGAGTGAGCTTGAGTCAGGTCGTTAGAGCTTGAGTGTTATGGTAGATTTGTAGAAAAAGATGACCTTAACCAGTGCTATTAGGTCCCACAGTTTGAAGATGTTAAATTTGAGGCTGCCAGTCTCCTCTCTGAGCTCTATTGCCAGCAGGTAAGTATTCAGCTATGTGCACATTTTGTATTATTCACTGTGGAACGTGCACTATGTCCAAAAGTATCCAGACTCCTCTTGTAATTAGTGGATTCAGCTACTTTAAGCCACACCGATTGCTCATACTCGTGTTAAAATGTGTGCTCTGCATATAAAAGCAACGCTCTTGAGCAGCCACACATGAGCCCAAGGTCACTGTGTCCAGCCAAGCATCGGCTGGAGGGAACTGTGGAACTATGTTCTCTGGAGTGATGGGGCTCCATCAAATAACTTTCAGATGAGTTGGAATGGTGTTTGTGGTCCTAATCGTCCAACATCAGTACCTGAGCGCACTAATGCTCTTATGGATGAATGCAATCAAATCCACACAGCAGTGTTCCAGCATCTAGTGTAAAGCTTTCACAGAAGAGTAGAGGTTACTCCAGCAAAAAAAAGGGCACTCCCACTTGATTTTATAAGAAACATTGGACAAGAAGGTTTCTGCAAACTTTTGGACATACATTTTAGTTTGGTAATGCTCAGATATTACATTAGGTACATCGCACTTGAATTCTGATTGTTTAGGTTTAATTAATTTGTAAACTAATTGTTAAGACTAAAGAAGATGGGAGTCATTCCATGTCAATCTTGTTTTTTCCCCTCTCCTTTATAGAACTTGGTTGATTCTGCTAAGCCTTTACTACGCAAAGCCATCCAGATCTCCCAACAGACCCCTTACTGGCACTGCAGATTGTTATTCCAGCTTGCAGTGAGTGATGACGTATATTTCTTTGTATATTCTATGAAGAATTAAAAGCAAATTTAAATGTGAAGGCTGTTTTGGAAGTTTTCCCTGAGCATCTGTGTTTTTCTTTTCTTTTCTTGTAGCAACTGCACACGCTAGAGAAAGACTTAGTGTCTGCTTGTGATCTGTTGGGTGTCGGTGCTGAATATGCCAGAGTCGTGGGATCAGAATATACCAGGCATGGATATTATACGTTTTAGAAAAAGAAATCATATGGATTTTAGATGAAATAAATTTGATGTAAGATAGTCATGTTATCTTGGTATCTTTATTATTTTCTCTGATTTCTGATCTTTGCTGTTTTCTTCACAGAGCGCTGTTTCTTCTGAGCAAAGGGATGGTGAGTATATCCAGAACATCCATGCAAGCAGAGATTTTCTTCATCCATTACAGGAGAGATTTTTTTTCCATAGCAGCTATTTATGTGTATTAGAAGAGAGATAAGTATCTTAACACTCCTGGGGGGATGATGTATTTTTCAGTTTAGATTATAATTATGCTGCACTTTACTGGCAAAGAATGGATACATTTCATTAGACCTCTGAGTGTATTTTCTGTGTATGTATACCTAGTTGCTGCTGATGGAGCGTAAACTCCAGGAGGTCCATCCTTTGCTCACGTTGTGTGGGCAGATCGTGGAGAACTGGCAGGGAAACCCCATACAGAAGGAGTCCCTCCGGGTGTTTTTCCTAGTACTGCAGGTTACACATTATCTGGATGCTGGACAGGTCAGTGCTTCAACAAAAAACATTGGTTAATAGTTGACGTGATTTAAAGGGAAACTCGAAAAAAGGGATTTTTCCATATTTCTGCGTTACGTCACAGAGAACTGTTATGTAAAATGGTTATGAATATGCCGCGAGACATTGTTTACCTTTTCTTTTCTTTTTTTTTTTAATAAATATAAATCCATTCATGGTGAAGAGGGTCATGTTGGGCATTGCAAAGTAAAATAGTACCTAAAGAACACACACATTTTTAGATTTACCACTGTAAAAACTTAAGACATGTAGGCTCATTGGTCCATTTGAATAGCAAATAAAATGAGTATATTTGTGTTGTAAGCATTGCGACCCGTTTCCTGTCACCACCACAACAAAAATCAGAGCTGACAAGTTTGTTTACAGTGTTGGCATTAAAACACTGAATGACTGATTGAATTATGCAGACATTTTAAACATTTGGTGGAATTGTCTTTTAAGAAGTGATGCATGTTGGTGTTCAGATTTGCACTGCTATTTTGAGTCCACAGTATAGACCCATTTTGATGCATAGGCTATGTTGTTTAACAGAGCTCTCTGCCAGGCTGTAATCTGAGGGGGCTCTGTGACTGGCTAAAAGCATTTCCAGTCACATACAAGACCACCTACTTTACCTTAAGTTTATCTGTTGATTTTGCTTAGCTTTGGTTTTTGTTTGTTTTATCAGGAACTGTTTACACATTAATCTTAAGTGGGAAAAGATGCTAATCACCAGTGCGGCAGTTGTGAAAAGTACTTCACTAATTCCTGATTGTGACATTGATGCAAAAAACAAAATAAATACATTCTGCAAAAGTGAATAAAAACCTATATGTGCATGTGTCTTTGTTCAGGTAAAGAGCGTAAAGCCATGCTTGAAGCAGCTGCAGCAGTGTATCCAGACCATCTCAACACTTCACGATGATGAGATCTTGCCCAGTAATCCTGCGGACCTTTTCCACTGGCTGCCGAAGGAACATATGTGTGTGCTCGTCTACCTGGTAAGTCTTTGTCTTAAACACACACACTTTTATGGGACAAAAGTGGTCAGTTTTCACGGTTCGTATTGAAAGTGTAGGTTAATTACAATTACAAGTTGTATTCATTCATATTTGACAATGAAAATGATTAATCGATAGTAAAAGACAGAAATACAGTTTTTACATGTGCTTACCAAAAACAAGCTACAGAGTCTGCCATGTAGATGATGTGACTATCACACATCCCACAAAGCGATTCCAGTATCAAGCCATAAGTTTTGTAGTTTAACAATAGTTTAATCTCTGATCTTACATTGTTTAGCAAAATGTTCTGCTAGTATATTGTTTTCATTGGTGCTGTGTTTATGTGATTGCGAAATGACTATTTCATGAACGTTCCAGCTTTAGGTGATATTTTAGTCTGTTATCAGAAATTTCAATGGTAAAATAAATAGAGATTCAAATGCTTTGAACTAGAGCCTGGCCGATAAATCGTCGTGCCAGTGTTATCGGCCGATATGAACTAGTTGTGGATAAATCGATATGAGCGATTGTAACGGCAGATAAATGACCATTGAAGAAGAAGCAGAGAGGCGGAAGACGGATCCTTTAATAGTGCAAAGTTTGTCTATCAGAGGATGCACAAATAACAGTCAGCAGAGACCAGTACTCCACGATGGCAATGGTCTGTGTTCGGGGGAAGCTGATAATTGTCACATGTACTACGTTCTTAAATAATGATAAAAATATCCCCATTGCCTCTCCTCTTAGCCTAAATAAGCCTGGCAACAGTCATGCTTGCTTTTGCTGCAGTAACGTGAAAGCCGATACTGTCAGGCAAACATCACAGTTAGCCTTTATTTAACGTTACGGTAGTTGAGTGATGTAGGCTAAGCTGTTGACAAACTTGATTGTAGATTTATTTATGAAACAAACAGTAGTGCTATCTTTTCTCCCTAGCTCATCACTCTGGCAACATTGCTTACAGTAGTTTATAACGCTGTTCATTACTAAACTAGGTTACCCACAAAGCTGCGGAGAACAACTAATGTCAACGAACAGTTAAACTATAGCCCAAATGACGAAGCTGAAGCTGTAATGAGGTGGAGAAGCTCTGTTCTCCTTTCACTTTTCCAAATTGGAAAGCATCCTGCACACTTTCACAGTTTGTTCATTCTGTGAGGAGCAAATGAGAAGACTGAGTTATCGAGATATGAGCTGTGTGCAGAAGAGTTCATGAAGTTTTCCTGTTTTGGGAGAAGTAAAGGACTTTCTCATTGACTGTCTTTTTTCACAGCACTATCAATTTGGCAAAATTAAAAAACAGCATCATGTCTAGTGTGTATAATTTTGGAAAAAAAAATTTTGTAATAATTTTGTGCCATTTTTTTTTCACATCACATTCATGTGTAACGGCCTTAACACCATGTTGGATGTTTAATCCAGTTAATCATTAACTTCTCTAAACCATAATACAACAGATGTTTATTTGTGTTTGAAATCCCAAAGTTTACTTTTAAACTGCGTTATGTCGTTATCTTGGCGGGGACTCTTAAATAACTACACATAACAAATATTGGGGAAAATCTTTATCATGTACTTCTGAAGAAGAAAAAAAAAAATTAGCTGATAGATCGGATTTTTAAATCCTCAAATATCGAAATTGTTATCGGTCTTAAAAATCCTATACCGGTCGGGCTCTACTTTGAACGCTGCGAGCTGATGACATTGGTCTGCACTTTCCTTCTGCATAAGAACTGCTGCGGAAAAAAAGCAAAAAATTAGAACTTTTCTTTTTTTTTTTTTTATATATATATAAAAGTGAAGGTCATCCTTCTCTAGTGTGATGAGATAATGAGCTTGTTGCTTGGTCTGAACGAGTGAAGTTGAATACTTCAGGCAAGTCACAGTCAGTTGCTTATAGACTGTGTTGCATTTGTTTCCTTTTGAGATGATGATGTTAAAGGAAAGTTTCACCTGTTTTAAAAGTTCGAAATGTTCTTATGTTTAGGGTGCAGTGTGTCCAGATATACTTATGCTCTTATGACAGTCTAAAAATCAGAATGCTGCCCACTAAGAGCTTCTTACTTTTATTTTTTTATTCTTTTTCAGCAAATAAACATGTAAAATTCTCTCTGTTTGTGTAGGTGACTGTCATGCACTCAATGCAGGCTGGCTACCTGGAGAAGGCACAGAAGTACACAGACAAAGCTCTCATGCAACTAGAGAAACTAAAGAGTGAGTTAACATCAAAAAGCACTTATGCACTATAGTGTATTTTTCTGAATGTAAGGAATTTGGAAAATGGATCAGTATAAGAGAAGTCTCCATGGACTACTGATTTATTTATTTATTTATATTTTGTTGCCAAGTTTAACACTACACTTACACTAGTTTGGCCCGGCAATGGACCTGAATGCACCACTCTTCAGCTGGCTGCATGTGGGTGATACGAGGGTGTTCTCTGTGAATTCCAATTGAAATTTAGTCTTGTTTAATGCTTTTACTGTTAATGTTTTTACTACTGAGAAAGTCTAGTTGGTAGCCCTATGCTGGTAGCAGAGTCCTCTTATTATGGTAATATGTTTACAGAAAATGATTTAAAATTTAAATCGTAGGTGCAATATTAGTCAGAAAAATTGCAGTTAGATATGTACCCCAAATCGTTCAGCCCTACAGTGGTGTGAGGATGTCCTAAAATGTCCACCTTGATACAGAGGTGGCTTTTTGTACAGGCATCATATCTGCCTGCAGCACAGAGTGTGTTTAACTATATCTAGAACGATATCTAGAACAATCTTACCTATGTTAGGTTCAATAATATTGTAGTATTAGTGTAGGATAACCTGGTGTTAATGTAGGAGATCACGTCACTCAACCTTTGTAAGTTCAGTTATGTTTACATGTGGGAATACTGCCGTCTTGCCATGGTTTGCAGGAAATTAAACAATAAAACAGCAACTTTTTTTAAACTGGTTGTAAATCAGTTTTTACTGTCACAGGGGCTACTACTGCGGTAACTCATCTACCGTCTGTGGCCTACAAGCTAGCATGCATCATTAGACTAATGTTTCTAAAACGTTGGTATGGTTAAACATTTTAGTATATTAAACAACCGATCATCTTCCTACTTGGGTTTTAAAATTTGAAGGCAAAACACTGTGTTTTAATTGTGTTTTTTTATATGAGCTTTTGCTGATGTTCTTCCATGATGCACGGGAATGTTTGAAAAAATTAAAAAGTTTCATACATTGAGCTGTATACTTTGAGCTCTACTGCCTTCTGGCTAAATAAACACATTGTGTTGGCCAGATTAATTTGCATTAAGCTCAGCTCTCCTTACCGTTTTTGATGCACGGATCCCCCAGATACAACCGTTGCCGTGCCAAACCTCTGTAAATGCAATGTAAGGAGTCTGCTTTGTCTTTTTTGCTTCTCTACATCTCTCTGGTATGTTTGTCATTACATTGTGATGTGGTAGTCCCATAGCTTTGATTTGCTTTGTGTTTTTCAGTGTTGGACTGCAGTCCCATCCTCTCTTCATTCCAAGTCATCTTGCTGGAGCACATCATCATGTGTCGTCTGGTTACAGGCCACAAGGCGACAGCACTGCAGGAGGTCTGCTCACCGTTCCACTGTGTTGTGTGATGTTTTTTTGTTTGCTTGTTTGTTTGATACTAATAAGTATTGTAATTTAAATAGATTTCTCAGGTGTGTCAGCTGTGCCAGCAATCTCCTCGCCTGTTCTCCAACCACGCTGCTCAGCTCCATACCCTATTAGTGAGTACACTCTGACACACTTTTCTTGTGTGGAAGATTCACTGTATTTTCTGTTTGATTATTGACATTTAAAAGCCAGCCTAGATTAAACACTAACATTTTATTCAGTTTAATCAATGTTTTTTTTTGTCTCAAAGTTTGAATATACAGTCCATGTATATTCCTTACAGTTGTGTGAATTTATCTTGTCTGTATTTTGTCAGGGTTTGTACTGCATTTCAGTGAACTGTATGGACAACGCAGAGGCTCAGTTCACTACAGCTTTGCGGGTGAGTGCTTACTGCTACTCCATCTACAGCTATTGAAAGGGCTGGTTTGCAGTAATTGTGAGGGAACTGCACCATTTTCACTGCTTTAAATAAACCTACCAGAGGCTTGATATTTAGGTGATGAGCAGGTGTGTTGCAGCATTGAACTGTTCTGGCACTCTTGGTCTGCAATGGCTGCACCTCTGGATGCTCCATGTCTTAATTGCACTATATCAAAGCAGCTTTTAAAGCATGCAGTGTGCACTACCTTCATTTCACTTTTGGTTTGAGCCACAGCAGACACAGAAAGGAAGCTAAAACCCACCTGTGTCTGCACCTACACAATGAATGGTCTAGTTTACATAATCAAAGTCATGATTGCTGTAGTCTGATCCGTTTCACTTTTGGTTTGAGCCACAACAAATACAAAGAGATGTTTATTTTTCTTGTCTTCTAAGATGAGCCACACAGTGTCTTATATAAAGAAAAGTACTCCTGTGTATTAATCTTATTCCAACCTGATCACAGAGGTCTGTTAAGCTGTCTTAAGTTGTTTCCATCTGTTTTAACTGGAGATTCAATTTTTGACAAATTCCTTTGACCAATAACCAATCATCATTAGTTGAAGATTAATTGTTAACCACCAAGGCTGAAAACGTGACCCATCAAAGAAACAGTTATAAAACAGATAGATCTGATTCTGGTTCTGAAATCTGAATGGCTGAGCCATGTTTGAAGCCCATGTCAAATACCTGACATCAGCATGCTTATGAGTGCAGATATCAGTTGAATTCTCTATTAAAGCACCAAAATTTTAAAAAGTGTACTTTTGATATGTGGGGACAGGCATAAGCATGCAAATGAACCAAATGGCCTAAAACTGTAATAAACACACCATATGTTTTATTTAAATTGAGAGGCTGACCACTAAGTGTACATGATTATGTGACCAAAAACGTAAATGTTGATACAATGGCTGAATAAATAGCAATAGGCTACTGAAAGTTCAGTATTCTGTTAAGTTCTAAAATTATGTTTACCATATTCACCTAGCTTATGTTGAAACAAACATAAATGCCATACCCAGTGCTAGCTTAGGATCAGTGTCTCAATGGGTCTTGCTGTCGCCATCCACCACATCCTTCTACAGAATTTTGCTCACCCATGTGTGATTTCCTCACACAGCTGTGCATGGCACTTTCTCTCTGAGAACATGGACTAAACAGCTGTCTGTCTTATCGCTTGCAGATGTTTGCTTTTGATACGGTACAGTGTTGTAGTTGTACACCACTGTTAGGTGCATGCTATGTTTTTCATTAGGCCTATCAAGTAGAACTAATAGTTAACAAACAGGTAATGATTTATATCCCTTATTTATGTTGGGGAGTAGAGATAGATCTGGAATGAGAGACAGATGCAAGAGGTTGCTGCCTTTAGTAATATATAAATGTCTCTTCTCGACTAGCAAACAATTAAGACAATTTGAGCGTACCAATAAGTGTTACACCTCTGGTGTTTCAAAAATCGACTATAAGACTATATACTAGACCGTAAGCACAGAGCTTTTACAGAGTACCCCTGCAGTTCTTCTGAAGTTTGGCAGTACATACAGTAAGTAAAGTGGCTGAGCTATCTCCTCTCTGTCTCTCTTCATTTGTTTTCTCTCTCCAGCTCACTACGCACCAGGAGCTGTGGACCTTCATCGTGACCAACCTGGCCAGTGTCTACATCAGAGAGGGCAACCGACACCAAGAGGTCAGTCAACACAGCTTTACTCTGTACATGTCTCAGGAGTTTACACTACATGAAAGCTTTTATGATGTATTAACCAAGAGCTATTTTGATTTCCTTTTCTTTCCTTTGCTGCTGTACAGCTTTATAGCCTACTAGAGAGGATAAACCCTGACCACAACTTTCCTGTGAGGCAAGTAATGAATCCATGCTGTCATTGCCTCTCATGTCTAAAATGCTATGCAAAAATGACATTTCATAGTCTGAATAAATTTCAGAACAACAGGGGGTAGCCCCACTGTTGAATATTATAAATCCATGGAGGAATCGCTTTGTTTGAATCGCATTGCCTTCTTTAGATTTATAGACAGAGCTCGGCGTGCAAAACGAACAGCCAGTTTTATAAATAATGACTTGTAAAAAATAAATGTTTTGGTCATTTTGCATTGTTTATAAACAGTGGATTCACTCTCTCTGCTGTTATGTCTTATAATGGGATTAGAATAGTCATGTTTGGATAATAAAACATCTAGTAGGTGTACTTTTACAGAATCGGTGGATGTGCATAAAAACTAATGTTAACATAACAAAAACAAGTGTGAATTTGAACTCTTACCCCAAGCCCTCTGACCTTGAGTATAATGTATCTTTTTTTTTTCCCTTGCAGTTCTCATTGTCTGCGGGCTGCAGCCTTTTATATAAGAGGACTCCTCTCCTTTTTCCAGGGACGCTACAACGAGGCCAAGTGAGTTTACTGCTGGACTCTTTTTGATCTAAATGAGTACAGGGACCAATTATACAGTGTGTCTATTGATCAACTAAAATATCTAGTCTATGCTTTTAGGCAAGTTTTTTGTAAGTTCTTTTTGTCTACTTTTTGCTGAAGGGCAGGAATGTTAGATACACTAAATCAAAGCTACATTTGTGTGTGTGAGTGTAGACGCTTTCTGCGCGAGACTCTAAAGATGTCCAATGCTGAGGATCTGAATCGATTGACTGCATGCTCCCTTGTTCTTCTCGGACACATATTTTATGTTCTGGGAAACCACAGGGTAAGTATTTACATTAGATATGTGCATTAAAAACATGTTTGTCTATAATGAAAATATGACTCTTTTTTCTGATCACTCTCCTTGGATCAAGTACACTGCTCAAGGACTAATTCAATAAATTTATAGAACATATGAGAAGCATGCAGCATGTTTTGAGCATTGATGTGTTTTGAAAGGTTAACACAATCCGTGTTGATCCTTTCCAGGAGAGCAACAACATGGTGGTTCCAGCCATGCAACTGGCCAGCAAGATTCCTGACATGTCTGTTCAGCTGTGGTCCTCTGCTCTGCTAAAAGGTAAACAGCTCAAGCCATCCATCACATTTGATCTCGGAACCATACTGTTCCAGTACCCTTTAGCACAAATAGATGTCCTACAGATAGATATCAGAATTTATCCAGCACTTTCATATCCTCCAGCTTTGTATATAAACAGTGGAAATTTAAGATAAAATTCTGCTCCTGTGTTAAATCTGGTCAAAACAAGAAAATCAAACAGTGATGCTTGCAACAGAACTTCTGCCACCTTTCCGGTCCATGAAAAAGTTTTGATGTCAGATCAAACTGTACAAAACAATAACATTTGGATTTTGTTTTGTATTATTAAGATTCACCAGAAAGCACCTATTTCTGTATGCTTAGATCTGAACAAGGCCTGTGGGAACACGATAGATGCGCATGAGGCGGCTCAGATGCACCAGAACTTCTCCCAGCAGCTCCTGCAGGATCACATAGCTGCCTGCAGCCTGCCTGAACACAACCTCATTAGTGTAAGTGCTTCATGTTTTCTACGAAACATGTTGGTATCCCTTCTAATGCTTCATATCACTCTGAGCAGTTTGCAACACACAGATTAAGCTTGGTCAGGAACCATCACCATCATCCAGTGAGAACAACAGTGGCTGCATGTTCTGAACAATGAGTCTATAATATATCCTCAGTGATTTTTAGACTGCCTCTCTCTTTCATACAGCTTGTGAATTCTTGTTAGTGGAGGCTCTTTAGGGGACTTGAAGCTTTCCACTTTGCTGTTACTTATGTTAGTTTGCTGCTCATTGATATTTTTTTATTTATTTATTTATTTTCCATAACGACATTTAAAAAAAAAATGTAAGCATTACTAATTTAAATAATAGCATGGTAATTATTTAATTATTTTGGTAAGTTACGCAATGAATTGCATATACATTTGATTTACACTTTGGATCTACAGGTTTTTTTTTTTATTTGTTTTGATGTCAAGCAGTGACCAAAGTGTGGCAAAAACGTAAAGGATGTTTTTACTTGTACGCACAATAACTTAATATACGAAAGTATCTCCTGCTTCTTACAGACACAGAAGTATCAACTGAAAGTTTTCAAAATCTGTGCTTCCGAAAAACTTTGTTTGCTTGACCTACAAGTGAAAACTAGTTAATATTGATTGACGACATGCTTCATTATCGTCGGCAGTAATTGCAGTTTCGAAGGGTTGAAAGTATTTCAGTAAAGGACCAGTCCTGTGTGTGTATGTATGTGGAGAATCAGCCTATGAGTAGAAAGTGCATTGAAGTTGATTTGTTTTCTCTTCTGATATTACAGTGGACAGATGGACCTCCACCAGTGCAGATCCAAGCTCAGAATGGACCCACAACCAGTCTGGCCAGCCTGCTTTGAATATCCAACACACATTTTACACACTGATGCATACACACACCATCTCACTCACTGTGAGCACACAAATTGTATATACAGGTCAGCCTCTTCTGAGCCCTCACAAACACTCTCACACACATACACACATTAAAACTCAAAAGGAGAGAGGACTCCTCTGCCTTTGACCTGCAGATTTTATTTTATCTTGTATTGTTCAGATTTTAACTTATTCTTATTGAACATGGATGCTGTTGGGGCAGCGGGATTTTTTCATTCAGTCTTGGAGAATGTCTGGGGCGTCACTTTGGGCACGATTAGTCCAAGTTTAGTGCTAAGTGCTTATGAACCTCCACACATGGCAAAAAACAGTTTTATTGAGAGGCTTTGAGCATATGCCATCTCAGACGTTAGTTCAGAAAAGACTTACTATTTTAATTGGCTGATTGACTTCCAGGCAGGAAGTCAATGGACGTCTATGGACGTCTTTGACAAAGCTGTTAGTGAAGCTGTTCCTCTTCATATCAGTGAAAACTTCAATTTAGTCTGATTGGCCTATTCTGCCAAGTGTGTACGTTCATGTACAAACTCAGCTGGAAGATACTTCCAACAGACCAGTGTTTTTTGTTTTTTTTTTCCCTCCATAATTTGTCAATAATTAACATTTTTAAAATTAATTTAATTCCAATACATTATCCATGACCGTAACCAGTTTAAGATGAGACATACTGAGGTGTGTATTGGGTTTGCATTGAAACAGTAAGGTGACCCAGTGAAGGGAGGTGGTTAATTATGCTGTAGCTGGAGACAGGCTGTTTTGGTTAACAGGCCAAATGCTTTAAGTTAGTCTAGAGCTGAACTCAACCTAAACTATGTTTGTCAGTTTTGTATTACTTATGTTTTTCAACCTAGTCTCTATCTACCACATCTGTCTTGAAGGGGCATTTCACAGACTTTTCAACGATTCTTCCTAATTCTGTTGGTGAGATATAAACAAAGTCGTTCAGAGTGATTTGATGTGAAATGGTTAATTTTAGAGAAACTTACTGACTCATATTTTCCTTGTGATGTTTACAATGCAAATATACTCATTCTATTTACTATCCAAAATGACCAGCAAACATACACGTGTCTTCTGAGTTTTATATGTTGATCTTAACAGTTAAATTATGCAGCAAGTTTGGAAAATCAGTGGAATTCCCCTTTAAGAAATCGTAGAAACTTTTACTCTTTAAGGCCTATTAACACTAAATTCATGGACGAAAAAAAACACAAAGTTTTGATAACAGTAGTTCATATTAATGGCGTCTTTGACATCAAGTCTGAAACTGGCAGACTGTGGCGCTGCATAAAACTTTTAATTAAAGCCAACTAACTATCTGCTGTGTTGTCTGGATGTGTTAAAAATCAGGCTGACCAATTAGAGCTTGGTTGTCATGGTTGCTGTCGAAGCAAATGTGAATCAACGTAGCAGCAGAACAGCTCCTTTTGCTTTTGGCAGAGCACAAAACCTTATACAACAAGTAACATGCTGACTGTAAAAATGCGGAACTTAAAGAAAATATATAGGGGACCAATGCTGAAAGGCTGGGAAATTATTGTGTGTACAACATAACTAACTTTTTTTTAAGTTTATTTAGGTGTTTCCCATTCTGTTCATGTCCAGCCTTTTTCATAGAATGATTGTAGTATGTGCGCCTTTTAGTTTCGGTGCTTAACTGTAAAGTTATAAATTCGCTAGAATTTATTCGGTAGTGATAAAATTTTTTTCCTCTCTTTTCTTGCGCTCAGAGTGTTTTAAAAAAAGACACACCGGATTTTGTAAGAAGGTTTCACTACATTACAATTTACATCCTTTTCCTTTACACCACCATTTACTTGTCAGTAACTGTGAAGTGTTTCCATATGTTTATAAAAGAAAAACCTGCGTATAGTAGACATGCAGACTTATAATAGAGGCCAGTGGACAGTTCTTCAACGTGAGATGTTTGAGTCAACATCTTGTCAATTATTTTCTGAGAACGAGGAAACGTGTCTGAATTATTGTATATAGTGATCAGTTGTACAATACAGATGTGGCAGAAAGAGATTAGTATGAAAAACACTGGAGTATTTCTTGAAATTAATCCTAGAATTGGCCTGTTGGCCCACTAATTTATGGCAGTAGTCAGTCCCCTGTATTCAGAGTCTTGTCTTTGAGAGCTACAGAGCAGAAAGCAGTGTTGCCTAGTCTGAATAGGCGTAAAGAAATAGTGGCCAAAGCAAAAGGCTGGTTTCAAAGCAGAAGAGCTTGTACGGCAGCTAAAAGCTTAGGAATAGAACACAACAAAATCCATTGGGATGTTTCAGTTTGTTGCACCTTGGGTCAATGTGGGTCTCTGTAATGCTGTCTAATCCACATCTCTAAGTATTGTTTCAGCATTGTTGTGAGTTTTTTTATTATTCTATTTCATCACTTATTTTTTTTAACTGTATCTAAAATGAGTAACTAAATGCATAGTAATCTTTCTTTTTGCAATGTATGTCTTGTGGGGGTACTCTGAAGTATGTATAGAATTTTTCTATTTTGAGTGCTGCAGCTCTTTTGGCAGCATATTAAATTTCTTTATCAATGACAGTTTTAGTAAAAGAGCAACATTTTGGCTATGCGGTTTAGGAAATACCGTCCCATGTATGGAAACAAAGGCAAAATACTCTTATTTTGGCACACGTTTGGTTTGTGACGGACAATTGGAAATATGTCTTCAATGATTAAGGTTTTCATTATAACAAGTTGCCGAAAAGCACCAGCATACTATGTCTTAAATAACTGGCCTTCATTTTTTGGTTAAAGTCTTCATCCCCCCAGTTTATTCCTTACCTGGTATTTATTGATAAAACATGCTTTATGCTTGCCTGATGATATATATATCATTCTTGCTGTAATATGGCTGTGGGTCGGCAACCCAAAAGGACAGTCAGTTTTGTTGATGCTGTGTAGCAGAAATTGGATTGTGCTTATGTGTATACAAAGCAGTCGAAAGAGGGCGCTATGGAGTTGCATTTGACTGCGATAGATCCGCACTGAAAGCCTGAACCACAGTTCTTACAACAAAAAGAAGTCTAAACTGAACAACACTCCAGTCCTGAGGAATAACAAATCCAGACCCAGCGTCGTATTTGATCCCTTCTGGGTAAAAACTGTATGAAGGGAGATAGACGTGGTTCAGATTCAGTTCTGTTATACTCTAATAAATATATCTTTTGATTGATTGAAGCCCACAAGATCACTAGAAAATCCTTCTTGTTTTTTTTCTCCCCTCTTCTGTCATTTTCTTCTCAAAGACACTGTATTTTTTTGTACTGAAACAAATCACAATGCTCTTTTTTATTTTTATCCACTGTACAAACCCAGTTGAGTTTTCTTTGAGGTATTTACCCCCTTTTTCTCTGTAGTTTTAACAAATAAATCCATTTATTAAATTTTTGTAAAGTTTGAATATTTATGTACCACATTTATCCGTATTTTAATCTTTGTCACTACTATGATTCATCAGATTCCAAACACCCTTTGCATAAATGTTACAAAAAAGCTGCACCGTGTATGTTTTTGTTTCATGCTTTGAAAGCTGAATTCTGTTAACGGCACACCTGATGGATTAGACTTAAGAATGACTGGCAGATAGTTCAGGAACAGATGCTTACGTTTAATCTTACTGCAATGTATATTATTGTTTGGAACTGTAGGGCCGTATTAAACGGTTACTGATCAGATTGCATTATTAAACCGTAATAACTAGTTGATTTGTGTTGGCTTCCTACTCATTAGAACTTCTTTTTAATAAAATACAAGAATAAATGGAAGGTATTTTGTAAACTAGGTGTTATGGCTATTCAGTAATGTATCCTGAGAGCACAATTCTTATACCTAAAAAGATATCGCAGTATTTTTTCTGAACGTACTCTGTCTTGAAGGACATTAGAATCAGAGGAACACATTAAAAGTTATACACAGATTTGATGTACATTGAATGGACTTGCTGCACTACCAACCTGTGTCAGTCTTTTCCTGTTTAGAGCTTACCCTATACATATTGTCTGTGTCAGGACAAAACCTATAGCAATAAAGGCCCATGTACTCTAATTAGCATCAAGCAAACTGCATACTGAAATTATTACACACAACTTGCCACAAACTGGATTGAGTTGTTAAGTAATCTCAAATAGACTTGCTGATACTATAACAGTTATCTATAAAATGGACAAAAGTACATTAAAATAGCTAAAAGCAATAATAGCAGCCAACTACGCCTGAATTTTGTCTGTTTTTATTGACAACAGTATGTCATACAGTATCAGAAACCACATGAGCAAGTCTATTTAAGATTTTAATGATTCACGCATGCAGTTTGCACAATGCTTATTGGTGGGGTATAGGCTCCAGTGCAAAACTTAAGACACCAAACATGACTTTAGTTATCAACTACCTTTGGGATCAGATGAAAACTATAAATTTGATTTCTTCTTTTTTTTTTTTTTAAACTATTGCTTTAGTGCAGAATTTGTGATGACTGGGAACTAGACAAGGTTCTACAAGATTCATCATTTTCCCAAAGTGGTTACTGATATTACATAAGCACTTCTGACTCTGTCAGCATGTACTTCTTAAATTAAACTACAGGGTCAGTGTTGGAGTTTAAATACATCTTATGTACATCTTATTTGATTTGAGTTAACTGAGCAGGTGGATTGGAGAAAAATAAATGATGTAACTACAACCTTATTTCCAAAAAGGTTGGGATGCTGTGCAGAATGTAAATAAAAACAGACTCCAATGATGAGCAAGTCAACTATGTTTTCAAATGTTTAATTGAAAACAATATAAAGACAACATCAAACAATTAACTAGGTTGACTGGCAACAGGTCAGTAACATGACTGGATATAAAAAGAGCAGCCTAGAAAGGCTGAGTCTTTCAGAAATAAAGATAGATAGGGGTTCACCACTCCATGAAAGACTGGGTAAATAGTGCAACAGTTCAAGAATAATGTTTCTCAGCATTAAATAGCAAAGAACTTGGGGATTTCATAATATATGACACATAATGTCACTAAAAAAATTCAGAGAATCCGGAGAAATATTTGTATGCAAGGGACAAGGCTGAAAACCAATATTATCTGGCCATGATCTTCGGGCCTTCAGGCAGCACAGCGTTAAAAAACAGATGCGATTTGTAGTGGAAATCACTGCATGGGATCAGCAGCACTTCTAAAAACCATTGGTTGTTCAGTGCTGCATCCACAAATGCAAGTTAAAACTATGCCATGCAAAGAAGAATCCATATATAAACAGGATCCAGAAACACCGCTGCCTTCTTTGGGCCCGAGCTCATGTAAGTTGGACTGAGGTGAAGTGGAAAAGTATCCTTTGATCTGAGGAATCAAAATATTAAATTTTTTTTTGGACACCACATCCTCCAGGCTCAAGAGGAGAGGGACCATCCAGCTTGTTATCAGTGCATCAATGTGATGGTACGAGGGTGCTTTCGTGCACATGGCATGGGTGACCTGCACATCTGTGAAGGTATCATTAATGCTGAATGATATATACAGGTTTAGAGCAGCATATGCTGCCATCCAGATGACGTCTTTTTCAGGGAAGGCCTTGATTATTTCAGCAAAACAATGACAAACCACATTCTGCACATAGTACAACAGCATGGCTCTGTAGTAAAAGAGTCCACATTCTGCACCCATTAAAAACATTTGGTGCATTATGAAATGAAAAATATGACAAAGCAGACCCTGAACTGTTAAGCAGCTGAAATCCTATATCAAGCAAGAATGGGAAAACATTTCACTTTCAAAAGTACAGAAATTGGTCTCCTCAGTTCTGTTATGACCCAGTCTAGGATTGAGCCACAACGGAATGAGTAAAATAGTGAATATGCAATGGCTACAGCTAATGATGTGTGTAATGGGACAAGGAAAGAAGCAAAAACAGACAGAGAGATCAATAAATGAAAGGTATATTGTAAGAGTTCTTAAACCCAGGCTAGCTACTTTTTTTTTACCTTCTACTTCACCTAGCCAAAAGAAAAGGAAAGGAAAGATAGTCCGTTTACCTAACTAACTATAAAACAGAGGTACAAACCCCCACTTCCAACATAAATGGCGACCATCCCCACAACTGGTGAGTCTATATACATAAAATACACACAAAAGGTGGACTAAGGTATATACAGCAATGTCAAACACTTACAGACTGTTGTTAAAAGAAGAGGTGATGCAACACAGTGGTAAACATGCCCCCCGTCCCAACTTTTTTGAAATGTGTTGCTGGCATAAAATTCAAAATGGGCATATATTTTCAAAAAACAATGCAATTTCTCTTTTTTTAATATTTGATATATTGTCTGTGTACTATTTTCAATTAAATACAGGGTTTAAATGATTTGCTCACCATTGGATTCTGTTTTTATTTACATTTTGCACAGTATCCCAACTTTTTTGGTTACAGGGTTGTGTTTTTTTCCAGATACATTAAACTCAGCAAATAAAAAGAAACTATGCATTAAAATTTGCTGAATTTGTAGACAATATGTTAACAGTCACTAAAAAAATTAACACATTTTAATAATTTGACCAGGGTTATTTAAACTTCTGCATATCGTCACTGTCCAAAAAAAGCGAACTTCATAGGGGAGAGCAAAAACTTTTTTTTGTTTCAATGTAAGTGAATGTAAAGAGATTTTATTCTAAGTCCTTTCTATTGCTCCATTCATCATTCATTTTTTTTACACAATGTTGCACCTGCTGTGTTGAAATAATGTAGAAAAAGTATTCTTTTTTTATTTATTTATTTTTTTGGACAGCGATAGTATGAGCGAACACACACACACATATACAGGGTTACTGCCAGGCTTAAAAAGTCGTATATTAAATTAATAAGGTCATAAATCTTCTAAAAAAAAAAAAGCTATTGTGTATATTACACTAATTCATGAATATTTTGCCAGCCAAAAATATCCACCAGACTGTGGTCAGAAACTGATCATTATGAAGGACTAGAGGACAGAGGAACTGATAACCAAATCAAACACACTGAAAAGACTAGTGTCTATGACGTATGTCATGCATGTATCTTAAAGTGTATATAGATGCCAATCTGTTTGAATAAAATACACAGAGTTTTTAAACACCTCAGTGTTGCAGTGTCTCAGCGTCCCTGCTGGACTGAGAATAGTCCACCAACCAAAAATATCCAGCCAACAGCATCCTGTGGGTAGCGTCTTGTGACCACTGATATAGGACTAGAGGATGACCAACACAAACTGTGCAGCAGCAGATGAGCTATCATCTCTGACTTTACATTTATAAGGTGTACTGACAAGGTAGGGGTGTCTAATAGAGTGGACAGTGAGTGGACACAGTGTTTAAAAACTCCAGCAGCACTGCTCTGTCTGATCCACTCGTACCAGCACAACACACACACTGACACACCACCACCACGTCAGTGTTACTGTAGTGCTGAGAATGATCCACCACCCAAATAGTACCTGCTCTGTGAAGGTCCATGGGGGTCCTGACCACTGAAGAACAGGGTAAAAGGGGGCTAACGAAGTATGCAGAGAAACAGATGGACTACAGTCTGTAATTGTAGAACTACAAAGTGCACCTATATAGTAAGTGGAGCTGATAAAATGGACAATGAGCGTAGAAACAAGGAGGTGGTCATAATGTTATGCCTGATCATAATATATGTCACATTTGAGTTTGTGTGTTGTTTTCTGGAAGAATTGGTATTATTTTTCCTTCATAAAGGCCTTAAAATGGAATTTAAAAAGCATCTAAGCATCTAATTTGAAAGGTTCACAGCCTTGCTAGAGATTACATCGATGTGAAACCCAGTATCGGTATCAGGCTGATATTAGCAGAAAATGCTAGTTTGTATACTGACGGAAAAAAACGAACCCAATGCAGTTCTGTAACAAATCTAGCCTGAATTACTGCAGAATTGCTTACAGAACAAGATAACATAAAGTAGGTCATGCAAAAAAAAACAGTAGCCACATATAGCCTAACGTTAGCATATCAATGAGTAGCTTGCTAGCTACTATACTGGAATAACAGTTCCTGTAGTTTAGATAGGCTAATCTTGAACACCTTTGCAATATAAGTCATATTACTAAGTAAGTGAATTTTTATGGTGAAAGAGTTTAATTCATTATTTTTGTGTAAGTGATGTCATTGGCTGTGTATTTCTTTCTGTAACATAGTATAGTGTTGGAATCTACCATGTTCCCAGTACCATATAACCCCCAGGTCCTGTATTCCCAGGGTATTAGCTCAACTGACATTTAATTTACTACGTACTACATTTCTATGACATTCGACTTACTACATTCAAACTGGGCTCTATGTAGTTAACTAACTGTTTAATGTACTCTGCTAGTGTGCTAATTTGTAAGCTAAGCGCTATACAACTACTTAGAACCATATAAGAACAAAGCAAAGTTAAATTGTGCTACACTCCAACGTCTCAAAAAATAACTTTGCATCACAAGGTTTTTCTATCACAGTTTGGCTAGCTAGCTAAATGCATAATCTTAACTATGACCTTAGGGACCCTTTCATAGGTTTCCATTATGTATCATACTGAGGTTTGATATATCATATAAAGAGCTAAACATAGGGCCCTGGGAACATTGGTACGCTTTCATAGTGTTTGCACATGATGCTTTTAAATACCTTTAAAAATCTTACGTGAAGTGCGTTAGTTATATTAAAGCCTGGCAGTTTTTCAAAATAGAAGATATCATACTGGTGTCGATATCAGTCACTACTCAAGGTTATAGTATCGGTATCAGTAAAGAAAAGAAAGTATGCCATCTCTACATGTCATCAAATGTAGTTTACGGTCTATTAGCCTGCTATCAGTTTATTGATTATGTATGAGGTTATTTATTTGTTTGTTTGCTTTTATTTTTTCCACATAGTAGATACTACAATCTCGGACCCCCTTACATGCATTGTGTGTCCATATGTTGATGGAACGAGCCCACACGTAGAAGGGTGTGACTGCATATTTGTGAGTGCATATGTGCCCTGCCCTTGAGGAGAGCATAAAAGTCCTGATCTCCAGTAATGGTGGAGCTGTGAGTGTGTGTCTCTGTGTGTGTGTGTTTCTGCAGGGCTCCATGCCAACTCTGAGGTCAGCTTGCAGGCCTGGTCACATGACCGTCTTTATTTCTAATCTGCCGAGCAGTGTGCCTGTGACATTCCTGTGATAAGACGTGAAGTCCAGAGGAACACATCCTGGACCTAATCATCCTCAAAATGGCACCTTTAAACTAAAATATGAAGCATTTAACCTTCAACTTTGCCTCTAAAGGGCTTTGATAAGATGCTATGAGGGAAAAAAACTGCTGCTAACTAAGTGATGCTTATTAGGTAATAGGTGTCAGAGCAGAGCCGAGAGCAGAGACTTCCTGCCAAATAGTGAGCCGGCCTGATGGGGACTGGGAGGGCCGCTTCCTGCATTGTTACTGTACTTACATGGGGATTAAGTTCAGACTGTCATGTTGTTAGTGGCAGCCATTGCTGCCTCCAGCAGAGCAAAAAGTGAGACAGAAAGAAAAAGAGAGACAGAGACGTAGAGAGAGGGAGAGAAAAAAAAGAGAGAGAGGGCGAGTGTGTTTTGACCTTAGTGTACCGCTTTTTCTTTTACTTTCTCTTTCTTTCTAAGTGTAAACAAAACACTCACACTTCACTTAAGAGTAGTTGAAAGCAAGGCCCACCTTCCCATACTATCCTGAGCTTTCATGAACAACATAGAGCATGTTCTCCATACAATTTAGGCTCTATTCATTGCCATAAAGTGAGACATTAACTGGTAATATGAAAAGACTTGTGAAGATCTCTCAGTCCATGCTGAGTCTGAGTGCTGATTCAGGATCAGCTTTCAGAGTCTTAGCAGCAGTTAGTGCTCTTATGTTCCTTACGATGCTCTGATCCCAGAACAGTTTCCGGTCTGCAACCCTGATCCAATCAGTAAAATAATCCAACAGAACACCTGCTGTGCACATCCAACAACAGATGAAATAAAATATACAAAGGAATAAGATTTGGCACAATGTTGTAATTGATATAATACAACACACATACTTACCTACACTGTCTAACAGGGCAGAAGAAAAGAAAAGACAATGACAGCAATAACATGAGGGTTTTGTTCAAGGTTTAATAAAATAATAATAATAAAAATATATTATTGTATAGGTTTTTATATTATTTCAAATGAAATAAAAATTATTATTACATTAAATACTTAAATTGCATACAATTAAAAAAAATAAAATAAAGCCTAACTAAATGAACTATAATAGTTTAGATAACAAAACCGACAACAATTATTATTGTTATTATTACTATTATAATTATTATTATTACACTTAAGTGGGAAATTTAAAAAAATGCATGTAGGATTTAATGATGATGATTTAAAATGTAAAATGGCATTGCTTTTTATTTAATTACTGAAAGTACTGCTGTGCTAAGCACAACTTATGTAACTGTAATTGCTCACTGTGCGCTATCCAATCAATGCAGTTCTACTATTTTGTATGATGACTGCCAATATTTATATATATATATATATATATATATATATATATATATATATATATGTATATAAACATTCATACATATGTATACACACATACATGGGTGTGTATGCGTGTGTGTTTGCCATGTCTAACTCAAGGGAATTACAGCACCAAGATCCAGCCAGCCCCCACTACCCACCCATCCACCCCCACTACACCACATCTTTAGCTCCTTTACCACACCAGCACACATGATTATTATATATGCCCCACCAGCACCATCCCATCTCGTCAACCACACACAGCAGCCCACCTGTGACTCTAAGCCTCGTTTGAGGTGGATCACTCTGGTGCACTCACTGTTTTGCCTGAATGCCTCATGAACACAAGTGACCACATGTGAGGCCACTATAGGCGTCTATAGGCGTTAATGCTCACCTGTATCAGTGAAGGTGAGGGAGTTGGAGGAGTGGCCCTGTCCCAGAGAGGACGGGATGGGGTAGGTGGGGTGGTCTGGTGGCGATGGTCAGTGATAGTGCTGTGTGCGCGTGCTTGGTTCCCCTGGCGTGCAGCAGCGCGCATGCCCACTGCGCTGACGCCGCGGCTCCATGTGTGTGAGAGGCGCATTATTTGGCAACCGAGGCGGCGGAGCGGGGAGGGCTGTGAGGGCTGAGGGTATCCCCGGGATTTTTTTTGTGTGTGTATGTGTGTGAGTGTGTGCGCATACGCCGAATTATCAGACTTAATTGACACTCAAAACCTCCAGCAAGACCTTCTGACGAGCGGAGCGGCGAGCCGGTGAGTGGAAAAGAAAAAAAAGCCGTGTCTGAAGTTTTGTGGCGAGGAGGAGGAGGAGGGGGTGTACTGGGGAGAATCCGTTTTACTCGGACTTACCGAAAGGCAGAGCTCCTCTTCCCCCACCTAGATGTACTGCGACGACACACGGACGATAAATGGGGCTCTTTCGAAGTAGCCAGTGCACTTTTTCCTCAGGACCGACAAATAAAACAATCTCCGAGGCGAGAGGAGGAGGTTTGTACGCTATTGGAGGAACACTGAGGGACGTTATCGTGTATTAAAGTTCCCGGAGGCGCTGAGGAAAGGATTTCGAAACAGTAGTTGGTGGCAGTTTGATGTTTCCTTTTTACCGTAATGGAGACGATGTGAACCTCGCTGTCTGTCTGTCTGGGTGGATATACCGCCGACGAGCAAGTTAGAGTACCTTGAGGGAGTGTGAAGCTGAAGTCGGCTTCTTATCCGCCTGCTTCTTGTTCGAATTTGGCCGTTCCACCTTAAATGGTGCAGCAGTTACGTTCTGGCGCCTGAGGCTCCAGAATGTAACTGCTGCACCATTTAAGGTGGAACGGCCAAATTCGAACAAGAAGCTGACGAATAGGAAGCCAACTTCACCCTCGTTGAGGGAGTTGGGTTTCTTTCACCTCCCTTTTTTGTCAGTTCACGGTACGAGATAGTGACCCATCCGCAGTCACTTCCTAACGCATCGAATCTAGGTTGAAGAAGGAACCTAGCCGGTGTATTTTTAAGCTCCTTCTTGTCTTCAAAGTTTAAATTTTGCGCTATCCCCCCCTCTCCCGAGCGCAAGGTAACGCTAGCAAGTTAGCCTGCTAACGTTTCAGCCCTTGATTGGCTTGAACTGTGATGCGAGTGCCAGGTCGCTCTTATTGTTGTTGTTTTTATTATTGTGGAAAAAAAAGAAAAGCAGGAAGAAAAGTTTGCTGTTCAGGGCCAGTGTGGTTCTGCGTTTATGAAATAATGCAGTTTGAGTCGTGAAAACCTGCCGGCCACTCGTCTTGTAACGTTACATTCAAGGGCTAAGTCCGGCTCTTAAGTTGCTAACGTTCAGTCGCTCAGGTAACGTTAGCTTTTGCTAATGATAAATGGTCATTATGAAGGCTGGGCGACTGTTTACGGGCATTGTTGTCGTTTTTAAGCCCGCTTCGACTTTATATAACGTTAGCCGGTGTGACATACGGTCTTTACCGGTGCGAGCGTGAACAGTACGTTTTTATTTTCTTAAATAATTCAACATATGCGGTGTTTTTATGGTAGGTAAAAGGAGGGGGGCGGGGGGTGATGGTGGGGTAATAATGGTGGACGTTGTGCCTCAGTTTTAGCCCCCAGTCGTGGCACTTAACCCGACAGTCTGCCAATTTTCTGTGGTATCACAATAAAAGTCCCTAAGCTGTGATCATCTTCCTCCTCGCAGGACTATACCCTCCTCTTCATCCTCTTAAAGCTGTACGCAGGGTTTTTTAGGCTTGGCACCGTTACAGCGTTTCCACGGCTGTATGTGTGGAGCTAGACTCTTACTGTCATAACTGAACTTCTGATGACTGTGTTTACAGACTTTTGGTTTTATTCAGACAACAGGTGGGCGAAATGGCAAAATGTAGTATCACAATACTTCAGGAAGTTTTTTACAATTCACGATATGTCATGATATTTATTTTTTCTGACATTCTGAAAAAGTTAGACAAAGTAATGCCACATTTTAAAAATACTGCCAAAAGCTATGAATCTAATTTCTTCAACATCTCACACACTGTGCTGCACTAAATCCAGTTAAACAGGACTAATTGTGCTCTTTTTGTAATCAGACATCTGGGGAAGTGGATTTTAAGAACTGACGATGTCAGTTGCTCAGAAAAGCATATTGTGACGTAATTTATCACAATAACAATAAATATTATCATTTTACCCAGCCCTAATTCAGACCTTTTTTATTTAATTATGTTTAATTATGTAGACCTAATGTCACTATTGTTTTCCTAGTTAGTGCTGTGTTGCAACTTGTATGCACATATGTAGAAGTTCTGACAGTCAAAAAACATTGAGGATTAGACAGATACACTTCACTTAAAAAGGGAATTCCTCTGTTTTTTTCCAGCATTTCTGCAGTAAGATGTAAGTCATTCAGCATGGTTTGATGAGAAATGTGCCATTTAAAAAAGGATTTTTCACAGTGGTGGTGAAAGAGACCAGATGTCTGAAGTGGTCAATACGTAAAAGTTACATCACAGGGAGCTGTTTTATGATATGTTCCATGACGCCAGAGACATTGTTGTGCAATTGTTTTACACCGTGATAGTTTTGATAAATTTTTGGCCTAAAACATAATATTTTTCAACACGCACTGCACAGAGGTACATGCAAGGTGTTGTAAGGCTAAGTAATACCTTTTAAAAAAAAGATTTTCAGATTTTTCAGATTTACTACAATTTTAACGTTATCAGCATTGGTTATAAAACTCAGAAGACAAGTGTAGGTTTGCTGGTCATTGCATTGTAAATAAAATGTCTGTACTTCCAGTGTGGACATTGTAGATCTCAGAGATAAGCTTCTTTACAATGCACCCTTTCACATCAGACCACTCAATGGCTTTGTTTTCATTTCAGTCATTGAATTATGCTGAGTGGAGTGTTGATGTTCATTTTAGGGCAAACTCCATACTCTTATTTATTGTACCGTATATATACACGTGATGGCTGGCCTGTTTGTTTTAAAGTTGTTTGTGCATTCTGCCATAGTCTCAAGGGTGTGTCTTACTGACCATGAATGTTGTAAAGTTGAGGGGTCGCCCTGAAAATAATGTTCTTATACTCTGTTAATTTTCTGTTCAGTGTGTTCAGTAGTTCTCCTGATGGTCACCTGATTCCAAACAGAACAGGGATCAAAAAGCAGCCATGCTGTAGGATCACATGGGATTTGTTATCTGGAGTTTCAATGAACACATGAGCTGCGTGGACCTTTCAAGTTGTGGCACAAGTAAGCCTGCTTGTTTGACCCCAGGGCACTAAGTCAATTAAAGGCTGATCTGCCTGTCATATTGCTGACAGTTGTGGTAGGCCTTAGGTAAAATGGACTAGTGGAGTTGACCATATTGTCTGTGGGGAATCTGCATTTCAGCAAGTAAGCATATGTGATCAGCTCTTAAATTATTCATGTTTTTACGTCTCCACCCTCAGTTAGAATCAGGTAGTGAGGTGAAATCCTGCTGAACGTGAATATTCCTTTTTCGTTGCCAACTTTTAGGTTTCTGGAATGATCTTTGTCCACCTGAACAATGACATTTGGGCTTCTTTGTAAGCTGTTGTCACATGGCCGCTTTGATGATGTTAACCACAGGGGGTCCATCTGTTAGGACCTTATAGGTGTCTCAAAGCTGCCTGTGGACAAAAATAAAAAAACTCTGCGGCACATCTTTTCAGCCTAAGCTGTTCCTTTGTCTTCTGCTTTAGTGCTTGTAGACAGTCATTAGTTAGTGTCAAATGGAATTTTGCTGTTATGATCTTTCTCTGCTTTAGAGAACAAAGAGAAGCAGTCTTGGTTATAATTATCAAAGAAATGAATGAAGATGGTGAAGCTCACTTAGAGACAAAATAGACTATATTTCAGTAGACAGTTCACCACAAGGGATGCAGATTAGGCTGTGCCATCGCAGGGTTTTCCCAAGTGCATTAGACCACTGTGCACAGTATGTTCCTAGAACAGAATTCCCCATTGAGTACAGTAGCCCCTTAATAAGTGAAATAACTGGGTTTCCTCAGACAAAATAATGAAATTGTGGTCTAGATAGTGTTATGTATTCACCAATATCACAGCCATTCCGTGTACATGGTTAAACTAAGACTTCCTTCAGGTAGCCGAGATGGATAAGGTCCAGAAAAAAGCTGCTGGGAATTGGGCTTGGAGGGGTTAGGCCTATTTGTTGTTTGTAGCTAAGTAGCTAAGGAGTCAGGATACTTGGGTGTTGCTAAGCAGCCCTGGATAACAACGCTGTGTCAAACAGGGAGGCATCTTCCCAACTCCTTACCTTCCTTCTGCACTGATCGAAACCTGACAGCTCCTCAGATCACAGCTTTTCTCATCTAAAATTGCATCCTTAGCTGTAAGTGTTGAAGGTTGTTTCTCAGAGGCACTGTTGCACAACATAGTGTGATCACCCCTACTTTCATTTTAATTTAGCGAGAGGTAGGGGGGAAATCACTAAATAGCATGGATCTATTCTTGCTGCCCAGCTGTCATAATCCATGAAAGCAAAAAGCAAAAACCCATCAGAGGTTGTACATTACAGTGATTTTTTTTCCACATTTAAGGGGCGTTCAGACTCTGCCTTTTCAGACAGTTCTTTTCATTATCATGTATGGAGCAACATGCACCATGACAGAATGTTCTTGTCTGGCCTGGGCAACGCACTCTGCAGTTTAAAAAATGTGTTTAAGTTGAAAAACAGTAAACTTATTCGCTGAGTGCCACAAAAAAGCAGCATTTGGCATCACAGCTGACCAATCAATATCGAGAACGCCTTCTCTCTAGTCACCAGCTCTGTGAAAGCTAGCATTGGATGTTTTGTAACAACCAGAGCTGTACAGCGTTTGGCAAAAAGATTACCACAAACTGAACATGAGTCCATTTTGAAATGTTTATCGTTCATCTCAGTCTTTGGTGTTCTCTCAACACATTTTGATATTAAGAGGTGCATCCTGCTTCTTTTTAAGCACGAGATCTAGTGTACCTTGTTTTTAGAAAGGTGCCATGTGAGCACGCCCTTAGGCTGCGGTTAAGAATTCATTGGAATGAATTCACTGAAATGGTTTATTTTGCTTCGCACCAAGTTCATCTAGGTGAATTTCAGCACCTTGGAAGTGTGTGAACTTCACTAAGAAGGCGAGCTGTGGTGTCTTCTTTCTGGAAAAAACTAAATGGAGGAGCTGCTTCTCAGTCGATGTAATATTGCTTGTCACTCACTATTGCAAAAAACCCAAAAAAACAACTTGTGTAGTTAACTAACTAACATTAGCTGTTCACTGAATGATACTTGCCCTCAGAAACACAATCACAATAATCACAATGTGACTTGATTTTAGGCTGAGGGACGTTGTGTGGCACAAAGCAAAACAGTGAGAAAATTAAATCTAAAATCGTTTAATAAATAGCTTTCTTCATAGTTGTACCGCCCCCCCCCCAGCCCCCCCCCCTTCTAAAACTGTACTCTTGAGTGCGTATCACTT